GTTATTTAATTAACACACACAAGATATGCACAGGTGCACTGTGTACTATTATCTCAATAAATATTATCAATCAAGAAATATTTCCTATAAAACTTTCCCGTACTAAGGAAGGTAGATATCGACACAGAGATAAAGCGTGACAGCCCTAGTACCGTCGGCAACGAAGGAATGTTGTTAATTAATTATATCTGAATGTTTTGCTATCCGTACTTTCTAAATCTTGAAGTTTATTATTCTTAAATTACTAGGAATTATTAAATATAGACAATATTCATTAATGTTAATATGTGATTAATCTTGCTGGTTGGTGTTTACCTACAAAGACTGAATTTCATTTTACGTTAATTTCATTATTTCGGCGAAATTTCTTTCACTTTCACGTGCGAGTTTTGTATTGTCAATATGACTAAGTTTACTTAAACCGTGTTTTCAGACACATATGTACCTATATTATAAAATCCCTTTACATAATTTTATTTCAAAATTTTTTTGTTCAACACATCTAGAAGGTAATTAAAACTTGAACTTCCAAATGTCTACTATCATTTAATTAAAGATCATGAAATAAATTCCCTTTAATAGTGATTTAAATATACCTAATTTTGACAAAACCTCAATTTTTGTATTTACAATAGTCTTATGAAATTATTGATAACAGCCTGCGTAATATACCTACCTACTTATAACCCACGTAATTGACCAAGCGGTGCGCATCGAAAGCAAGTGTTGTGCAAATATGCGCATGCGCAGCCGGGGGTCAAGTGCTGTTACGTCACTACGCATCGTGTGCATTTTGTGCATTTCGGTCCATAACGCGTTGTCGTGATGACCTAGATCGATTAACGGTGACAACGCATTCTGATGACCTGACCTTTTTAAAGAAGTTGTATATTTAGCGATATATTGAAGCCTTAATTTTTATGATTCACGCAACTATCCCTATATCTGTATTAACATAACATAATATCACAACTTTTTATCCCCGAAGGGGTAGACTGAGGTACACATCACGGCATTTAATGCCACTGTACAATGTAAGACCCACTTTTCACTATTTATGTAATGAGTCCCATGTAATAGGGGGTGAGCCTATTGCCACATACCGGGCACAATTTCAGACTCCGTGCTACTTACTACTGAGAATTTTAAAAAACCCAGTAATAGATACTTTGCCCGATCCGGGAATCGAACCCGAGACCACTTGCACGGCAGTCGCACTTGCGACGACTCGGTCAACGAGGCAGTCATGATTACTTGTATTAAAACATGAATAAATCAATATAATCTTTAAAAATCAAACTTCACCTATGTAAGTCATTTTACTTACATAGTATCTAAGTATCTCGTCGATTGCCTCGTTGGCCGAGTGGTCGCAAGTGCGACTGCCGGGCAAGGGGTCTCGGGTTCGATTCCCGGGTCGGGCAGAGTACAAATGGGGTTTTAAAAAAAATTTCAGTAGTAGCACGGAGTCTGGAAATGTGGCGGTATATGGCAATAGGTTCACCCCCTATTAAATGGGACTTATAACATAGTGAAAAGTGGGTGTCACTTCTGTGTGCACCTCTGCCTACCCTTCGGGGATAGAAGGCGTGATGTTATGCTATGTATCTACGTATGTCTTGTGATTTGAGTCGAAGTCAAATCTTGTAAACGGTTTTAGGTCACTGAAATGGCAAACTATAGTATTGGAAGCATTGGAATAGCTATATAAAATTATCGCTTGCACATTACCATCTAAAAATATAATATCTGGGTACAGAAAAAATTAAACAATTTCAGTGCATAATGTGGTATTTGTTGAGAGGTGACTTACACGATATATTTTGTTGCACAGGTGCTGAGCATCGGGTTACGGCCACCTCGCACTCCACTACGTGACCGAACCACGACTCGTTAAAGGTAAAGGCTGTTTAGTATTTACTTCTATTTTACTTTGTAACACAAGTGTATTGTTCTAGGTTCAGGAAAGGGAGGAAGCTAGACTAGGAAGCTTTTCTTGATGGATAGGCAGAGTTCTATTTACTTTGCAAAAGGTATTAACTGGTTTTCACCAGTTATAGATAATAAAAAACTCTATTGTTAAATGAGCCTTATATAGAAAAATCTTTACCCTTTAGAAATCCTAGTATGTATCTATGTACTACGTTGCTCAGTTCCTAAATCACGCATCTAATCTTCTAAATGGTCCAAAAAATAATTATAATTATGTTTTACGTCACTAATAGATGTCGGTGGTTATTTGAAGGGATTAACAAATTCATTCTTCAATTATTTCAATAAATAATTATTGATTGATTGATTGCTCTATTTGAAAGTTCCACAAATTATATTGTGATTGATCAATCATCAGTCAATCAGGAGCGAAAACGATTAAATGATTTCGTAAATCCTCATATTTTTAGACATGTTAACAGCATAAACTTGGGATATCCTGTAATAAACTTCTGATGTAAAAATGTGTGGTCAGAAGGTAATTTCGTATCTGTTAAAATAAGAAGTGTCTGTTTAAAAAACTTACAATTGAAGAAAATTTTGGAACCTGAGAACATGTCGAGAAACACAATAACATTACCAATGCAAGGGAAGCTGACAACGCTAATACAGTTCAAGAAGATAATCAAATCGTTGTAGCAGAAGTAGGGTGGCGTTGGGTCGTGGGTACTATAAGTACAGCGACACAATAGTAGCTCACATCACGGCCAGTGTGCGCTGCTCGTAATGTGAACTGCATTGTTGAAGCTTGTTCTTTAGCTTATCTAGTGCCAGATCCGGCTGCCACCATCGAGACACTAATTGCTGGAAAACGTACCCGTAATTATACTAATTAACAGTTAGCTCTTGACTTAATGAAGTACAGAATTTAAATTTTAATGAGGACTCCAGTTCACCTATGATGTTAATACTCATCTCAATGGATCATCATAATGAAGTAGATTTAGAAATTTTATATGATACTGCTGTCGTAAATTCGAAAAGAATAATGAGAAGTCAATTTAATGGTTGACGTGAAACACAATATAGCTGTTGCAAATTAAACAAAACCTTTAGCTGAACTCAAACGACAAACGCCAACATATTTCACACAAGAACATGAATCAATTGAACGTCAAATAATACCCAAACAATACGAGAACAGTCAAAATTTCAATGAACAAGTCTTTAAATCCAGTTTTACGAATGATTTATAGTTCCTAAATTATGCTAGCCCAGAGAATTTCAGATTGCATATACATTGTGGTGATATTTTACGTTTCTGAAGGCTCTGATCGGCATAATATACTCGATATTGTGGAATGTGGAACTGTATAGATATTTTATAATGATAAATAAAGTCAACAGATGACGGTATTAAATGCAAACTTATTAATAATTTTATTTGCATTGTCTCCTTAAACTCATTGAAGTACTTCTTGTTCTTTATTTTTTTTTATGTTGACGTTTAACTCGTCGAGTACCGGTTTTGTAGACACAATTATAGAACAATAGCTTGCGGTCACCGGTGACCGCTTGGTGTTTGACAGTTTAACTACGTTTTTATATTTTCCCGTTCTACTTCATTCATTAGAGAGCTTCTAAACCAGCGAGACATTCTGGTCGCAAAGCGGCTGCATATTAATTAAGGCTTCATTTCGCTCTCCGAATACCAGAGATAGTCAGCCGCGAGATGTATCGAGTTCCCACAGGCAACGCCGGAGTTTTTACATGTTATCGCCACCTCGCATCTGTGGCCGGCGAGTGATTGCAATGGCCGCCAATATCTGTAACACTGACTGTGGGATAAGTGTTAGGAATGTACGGAATTACATAACTACTTGGATGTGCTTGCTTCTATTTTGTTGCGCCGTGTGGCGTGTGGTGCAAGTTTTCTAATTCTCGTGATTTTGAGTTTTGCTTTTTCTCATTTGATTCATTGCAGTTCTCATTTTTAAGACGCTTTGTTTTAGTAATATCGAATTTAATAAAAATATTAATCTTGTATCCAAAAATGTTTTGATAGACGATAGTTCAGTAACGGTGACGAAGATCCATTAATATTAGGCAATGAAGTTAATTAACTATTGTTTTTGTATGATTTAATAAAATTCAACCCAAAGTAAAGTAGATACCAAATTAAATACCCTATAAGATGTATTAGTAGACACACACACAATCGCTACCGCTTACAACAGAAGCCACCGACTATAAAACCGTCCGGGCCGGCGCACGCGCTCCGCGTAATCTCAGCCATCGATCCTTGTTAATTGATCACCCGCACCTGTCCGCTGTCTGCCGTCTGTCCGGCCGTCCGGGACGGTCCGGCCGGACGCTCTGTCCGGTGGCACGCCATCTGGCCGCGTGCCTCAGCTATCTCATCTTCCACCTTTTAATATTAGCCGCGTGTTATCTGCCTTGAGGAGTACCTCAAGGCAAATAAAGAAGGAGTACCTTCTTTTACGATCAACTGGTTTCACATTGAATGAAATTTTCTCAGTTAGTATTTATTAGTTCTAGCCTCAGTCTTAACTGTGTCCTGTTTGAATATTTTTACTATTTTTATTGTTTAATGTTAATTTAAACTTAAGTATTTATTTAAAATGTTTAATCTTTCCTTGTACGGTCAGCTATGAATTCATCTTTATCTACTATGTCTTAATTAATAGTTCAGATTTACTGATAAAGGTCCATTAAACTTTAACGACCTTGGAACAAACCCGGCTATTAGATATTGCAACCATAAATTTTATTTTCCAATAAATTATCACCGTTGCAATAACGTGTCAGATAAAGTAATTAATGATAGAATCATAAAAATCAAACATTTCAAAACTAGAGGTAATAACCAACCGAATGTATGAATGGTAAATGTGAGTCGAGTAAGGCTTGGCATGGGCACGCTTCGAAATAAAATGCCATGAAATATCAATTTGTAATTCCTGCGACATAGTGTTGAGTAAGACCTTACCCGCTCGGTAACAGTAGCTTGTGACTACGTGCTGGCAGAGGCCAGAAGGCCAGGTACACACAAAGCGGTATAGACTCGTTCATTGTGTGAAATTCGTATCTCTATACAGTCAGATTTTGAATATCTACCTCTTTTCTAAATAAGGAAGTAATTTTGTTCGTTATGTGATAACTTAAAAGCAATTGGTAATACACAAACCTTCTGCGTTTTCCGTATCGTAACAGGTCCAGCAGGGCGGGCCCAGCGTATGCACATTGCAACACACGCCATTCAGGTTGCCCGCCACCACAAACACATGTCCAATGTTTTGTAATTATCAATTGCCGCTTTTAATTGCTCTGTATGTCACGGAATTTTGTAATTTTCGTAGATTTCTTTAAATATTGTACGCGCAGGTCACGATGACTGAGATTAATTCACAGTTTAACACCAAACGTTTACCATAACGCAATCACACAACGCAACCACTAATAAACGAGCAATAAAACGAACACCTTGTAGTAACAGCACTTACATTCTCGTACAATTTACATATAAATTGCTGAACAAGTACCTGACGCTGAAGCCAGAAACATTCGGGAACAAGCGAAGTAACAAAGACAATACATTACAATCAGGATACTGGAGATTATTGTACGCAGATACGACGTTACCCTTGAATAGAGCGAAATATAATTGCATAATGGCTCACGCAAGTTGAATGCGCCATTAGTAAAGTGGTGAAGTGGCGAAAAAGTTGTGTGAAACAATAGACGCGCGTGCGCAGGCCGGCCTAGCGAACAATGAGCGAGCAGCGCCGCGGGCAGAGGTGGTGCCGACCATCTGACCACCGCACCATACCGTGGAGATGGCATATTTAATAGTACAGATGAACAAGGTTACAATCCGACATAATTGGGATTCAGTGTAATTAACTTACTATAAAAAATTAGCGCACATGAAAACAAGATGCAGTAAGATTATTTTTGACGTAGGTATGAAAATATTCATAAAGTAAAAATAAGTGCAAGATAAAATTGACATAACTAATGTTAATCAACGAAGCAAATATTCGATACAATATTTCATCGTTTACAGATATTCCTACAAATATGAAGTTTTTGTATCCTTTGCCGCATCCAATAATTCCTAGCTGGCCTGGCCGAGCACTAGCTATTAGAGCGTTTGGTAGACAATATGGGAGATGTTAGATTGCGCCCATTGTTCCGGCGTCGCCTGCCGGCTGCTGGCGGCAAAAAGACCACTCCGCGTCCGTGCAGGACCACACCGAGCTGTGGGTCACTAGAGAACACCATGTTTAGTAGTTGCTACATTCTTACCCATTGTAACTCAGGAATGCAAGCCTTTATCAGGTGATAAAGGCTTGCCACAATATCTTTTGCAATATCAAAATTAAAACATCTACATCAATAAGCAAGGTTCTGAAGCTTCATCAAACTATGTACCGTAAGTAAGGAAATGTTCTGTCTGTCCTGAGTTCTGTACCTACACTAATTCCTTCCATTGAGAATCCATTACATCTTCACTTGCATGGTAGTACCAGTGCCAGGTGTTCCTGCAGATCACTCGTTAGATTAGAACCTCGCTAATCTGAAGGCAAATCTCTCCAGCATCTGTCGGTACTAATTCAAACTTCTAAAATTTCCTGTTCATGTTTCCTGGATTCTTGATTGACAAATAGATATGGTGTTTAGGGTTGCCAGTTTAGTGTGAACCAGCATTTAATAAACTGGTTACATTCTTAGACTGCACGGTTAGTGCGGTGGCTGGGCAACTGGCTGCAGCACAACGTGTCGCGGGTTCGATTCCCGCACGGTACAACTTTTTGTGTGAACCACAGATTGTTGTTCCGGGTCTGGGTGTCATATGTATGTGATATTGTATGTTTGTAAACGCGAAAACTACGACACTGGACAAAATCCTAGTGTGGGGCAACGTTTTTTTTAAAAAAAAGAAT